TGGGCATAATAACAGCAGTATGTGTGTTAATGAAATGCTAGACAAGAGAAATACTTTTAGTAAGATCATAGAGGGTGCACAATGCTAGACGGTAAGATGAGACAATAAAAGGAAAAAATCACTGGTGTTTGACTCCAATAAGTGTGGAGTGTCATGCAATTTGAGTTTTAAAACAAATCAAAGCTTAAACAAATGGTATAGTAATGCTGGGACAAATATGCAAGACTACCAGTTAACAATGGGGAAACCCCTGGTTAGATGAGGTAAACGGCCCAGAGCAATGAAACCAATTCCCTGGTTTGAGTGACTGAAGGTAAGTACTGGCAGATCAGCAATACAGAAGTGAGACGGATTTCCCCTACAGCTTCAGGCTTGGATGAGGCCAGCATCTCTGAGCCACGGACTCGGGGCTCTTAGAGTGCACGTCCTCCTGTTTCAGGGGTTTGCAAAAGGGCTTTGGTGGTCAGTCGCCTTTTGCGGCGAGCAGTCTTCTTCCTGTGTGGACGATGTGGCGGGGTCTCTTCCCTAGTAGCCATTTGCCCAGATGAGCTGATACGGAGTGGTACTTGTGGCTTTGTATAGGAATTTCCAGAGGGTGTCCCTGCTTTTAAAATAGCAGATTTGAGTAGAGCACTTTCACAAAGTGTGTCTGGAAGCCATGCAGTGCAAGTCTGTCCACCCCCCACCCCCCCCCACCCACAAATCATAGTTTTAACAAGTTGGAACATTAAAATCTTGATTCCTATCTGGCAATTACCAAAACTTTTAAGCCAATTTGGATAAAAGTATGAATTTTCCTCTAATATGGTTCCAAGTAAATTAACATCTCTAACCTGTAGATGATGGTGACTAGAACATAAAATATAGGTATGCCTTGGAAACTTTTCTCCTACTGAAGTGTACCTTGGTCCAAAAGCAGTTGCTAACCTATGGTCTAGACTTATCAATTATCCTTAATGATTTGATGATAGGCTTTAGCCTTAGAAACAAGGTACAATAAAATATGTGGGTCAATAGGGAGGCATGGAATTTATAAGATTGCTGCTATGTAGGTGACAGTGTGGCTTGGAACTAAAATGTACCGTATTAATTGTAGAGCAAGCATTAAATCCGTAACTATACAATTGCTCACTTGTCTGTGTTATGCTGTATGCGGATTGTGATTAGTGACACCTAGTGGCAAGAAGAAAACATTGCTTATTTGCTCTCATCTTTTTTATTATTATTAAAAATTTATACATTTGTATGCAACCTTAGCAATTTAACACTGCTTTAACCCCTTAAGGACACATGATATGTGTGACATGTCATGATTCCCTTTTATTCCAGAAGTTTGGTCCTTAAGGCGTTAAACACGGCTTTTTAAATAAAATCATTGGTTTTGATCCAAAAAGTCCAATGACCAGAAACAAGACATGGACTGCAAAATTTTGACTGCTTGAGTCACATAAGCATGGCACCCATTCTGGTCTTGTTATCTACAAAGTGACTAAATATTATGAAGAGTATTTGAATTTGGGCTTTAAAGAGCAATTGTTGTAGACGACGGACTAATAAATTGCAGGTTTGGTAAAATTTCAGTTGGGTCATTGTCAAATATTGAAGGAAATGCCCCCAGATTATTAATTTTTAGTAAGGCTGCATTTATATCTTTAAAATCATAAAAAAATAAATAAAAATGTTACTAATGAATGAGCCTTTGTGTAAAAGTGACGTACCCCATAGTAAGAGAAAAATGTATAAATTTTCTGATTGTCTAAATTGCTCAGCATTAGCTTTTTGCCTAGCTCTGAGAGCATTATATCATATTTTTCTCTTTTAGTAGTTTGCGTTTGGAGATTTTCAGAAAAAGGTTTTCAGGTAGAGTTGAGCAAACCCGAACTGAAAAGTTCGCACCAAACATTAGGTTTTTGGACCCCAGACCCGAACACGGACATATCACTGTATGTTCGGTTTGGAGTTCGGTGTTCGGAGATTTAATGGCGTGTTTTGAAAGGCTTCAGGGCAGCCAATCAACAAGCGTTTGACTCGTGTGCCCTTAGAAGCCATCACAGCCATGCCTACTAATGGCATGGCTGTGATTGGCCAGTGCAGCATGTGACCCAGCCTCTATATATAAGCTGGAGTCGCGTAGCCCTGCACGCACATGAAGTCTTATTAGTGTAGGGAGAGGATGCTGCCGCTGATAGGGACAACTTAGGAAAGAATTATGCAAACTAGTACATTAGTGGGGTGGGGTGCACTTCATTTCTAAGAGTCAAATAGAAGCTTAAAATATCTCGGTTACATCAGAGTTTTAAAAAGTAAATTTTTTTTGGTGCTAAATAGTACATTAGTGGGGTAGTACATTAGTGGGGTGCACTTCATATCTGAGAGTCAAATAGAAGCATCAAATACTGCTGTCACATTGCAGTTTTAAAAACATAAAAAATTTTGGGTGCGAAAAAGTACATTAGTGGGGTGCACTTCATATCTGAGAGTCAAATAGAAGCGTCAAATACTGCTGTCACATTACAGTTTTAAAACTTAACATTTTTTGGGGTCCTAAACTGCTAAATAATATTTTAGTGGGGTGCACTTCAAATCTGAGAGTCAAATCGAAGCGTCTAATAGTGTGCTTACAGCGCAGTGGTAAACATTCTTACTTTCAGGGTGCTAATCTGCTAAATAGTACATTTTGGGGCCTGTTCTTCATATCTGAGAGTCAAATCAAAGCATCTAATAGTGTGCTTACTGCGCACTTGTAAACATTCTAATTGTTTTGCTGCTATTCTGCTAAATAGTACTTTTTGGGGCCTGCGGTGCACTTCATATCTGAGAGTCAAATAGAAGCATCTAATAGTGCGCTTACTGCGCAGTGGTAAACATTCTAATTGTTTTGCTGCTAAACTGCAAAATAGTAAATTTTGGGGCCTGTTCTTCATATCTGAGAGTCAAATAGAAGCGTCTAATAGTGTGCTTACTGCGCACTTGTAAACATTCTAATTGTTTTGCTGCTAATCTGCTAAATAGTACATTTTGGGGCCTGCGGTGCACTTAATTTCTGAGAGTCAAATAGAAGCGTCAAATAGTGCGCTTACTGCGCAGTGGTAAACATTCTTATTTTCAGGGTGCTAATCTGCTAAATAGTACATTTTGGGGCCTGTTCTTCATATCTGAGAGTCAAATAGAAGCGTCTAATAGTGTGCTTAAAGCGCAATTGTAAACATTCTAATTGTTTTGCAGCTAACCTGCTAAATAGTACATTTTGGGGCCTGCGGTGCACTTCATATCTGAGAGTCAAATAGAAGTGTCTAATACTGCGGTTACAGCGCAATTGTAAACATTCTAACTGTTTTGGTGCTAATCTGCTAAATAGTAAATTTTGGGGCCTGTTCTTCATATCTGAGAGTCAAATTGAAGCGTCTAATACTGTGGTTACAGCGCAATTGTAAACATTCTAATTGTTTTGGTGCTAATCTGTTAAATAGTACATTTTGGGGCCTGTTCTTCATATCTGAGAATTAAATAGAAGCGTCTAATAGTGCGCTTACTGCACAGTGGTAAACATTCTAATTGTTTTGGTGCTAAACTGCTATATAGTACATTTCTTCATATCTACAACACAATTAAACACGTTTTAAAATATGTATGGGCCAACCAGAGGCTGTAAACAACAAAGTTTTACTGGTTACATTCATGACTACACACTCTAGTGAACAGGACCTTCATGTAGTGTGTTCTTTTTAAAAAAAAATCATACAGCATCCTTTCATGTGCTTTTCAGATGTCATATTGTGAATTACCAATTTTTGTGTAGCCTGATTTTTTTTTCAAAAAGTGAAAAATAAGTGTTTTTGTGATCGCTTCATTTACATTACATTTACATTTATATAAATTTCTATATTGTGTAAAGACACAACTACAAAGTTAAAAACCAAACACCAAAACAACATGCAAGACAATCTACCTGTGCATGGCTAGTGTGATACAATAAGTCTACATCTTAAGATGGGCGAGAATTTCTTTTGCAAATGGAACGTTGATTCGAATTTACTACATCAGTCACTTGTAATATTGTTTCACACCTACAACACTTGTTACACAGATCTAAGTGATAGAAAACAGATTGATATTTTCTACACTAGAAACTACCAGATAAAAAGCTGCTATATTTAAACCAGTGATCAATAGCTAAGAGGTACTTCAACAATATTGTAATTTTGGGGCAATACCCTCACAAGTCAAACTGAGAGGTAAGTTTATAGGGAAAACTGTTGCCTGGAGGAAAATCTAAAACTATTTCCATATGTCCTTTGCAGACTTTACAAGCTGGAAAAACACAGATGCCAACTGCTGTGGCTTTCTGCAGTGTGCATACCGGCAAGGAGGGCAGGGTTGAGGAGTGGGTGGAAGATGATGTGGAGGATGATGAGGTCCTAGACCCCACATGGAATCAAGGTCATGCGAGTGATGTGTGCAGTTTGGAGGAAGAGGCGCTGTGGCACAGAGGCACCAGCACAGCATAAGAGGGAGCAGGGTGCAAAAGTGGAGCGGCCGTCCCCTAGCGCTCGTCGGCATGTATTTGCTCGAGAATTACCAGTTATCCAAGTAATACATGTAGCGATCAAAGGATCCATAATAGACTGGAGCGAACCCGAACTGCAAAGTTCGGATTCGTACCAGATTTAACGATCCATTCGTAGTTTCACAGTGTGGGCAGTCCGGTGACCAGGACCCAGACACTGTCAGGATGTGACATTCACTGTAGCGGCTGTGTGCGCTTTTGGCATTGTCACCCTGCTGCTGCTCGCCTGTCTGCGCTGCAGCGTAACTTCAGTCTTCCCGCTCACCGCATCATCAGACTTTGCGAGCAACAGAAGGCGATGGTTTTTCAGCTGCAGCGCGCACGGGTCAGTGGCTCTGCACCAAACTACCCTCCAATTGCTCAGAGTTAAAGGATTTCAAGTGGACTCATTACAATTACAGGGCCTCTAAAGAGTCCTGTATTGTTATTTGTCTTCACTACCTTCCCGCGTCGGGAGTGGGTCATTTGCGCGCCTGCTGCCTTCTTTGCATGTGGTAGCCATTTCTCAGGGTCCCCGTATGAAATGGAACCCTGATTCCGCTTTACCAGTGGTCACCATGGTAGGTGCAGAAACTAGTATCAAAAGTTGATATGGATGACATCCGCATGCAAAGTCGCCGCCACGGGGATGTGCGATTTGCCCGAGGTTCTCTAGAGTCAACAAAGTTCCTGCGCAACTATAATGTCAACAGCTACTCTGCGGAACAGAGTTGTCTTTTTTTATATGTCACAATATTTTGGCTACCCCATTTCAAATATATATATATATATAAAACCAGTGTTGGCTACCTGATCCTCCTCCTCCACCGCCACGGTCACCGCCTCCTCAACCTATGGGTCACTTAGTGTAAACTAGGTACACATTAGCAGAGGCTTGTGAAGGCCTTTTCTCCATGCATCAGGACTGCAAGAAATGCACCGCAGGCCGCAAATATTTCTTTATTTGTATGTCCCAATATTTTGTGGGCTATCACAATAAAAAAAAACAAAAAAAAAAAAACATAATAAACAGTGTTGGCTACCTCATCCTCCTCCTCCACCGCTGCTTCCACCTACACCCCCACGGTCATCGCCTCCTCAACTAGGTACACATTAGCAGAGGCTTGTGAAGGCCTTTTCTCCATGCATCAGAAGTTGAGCATTTCTCCATGCATCAGGACTGCAAGAAATGCACCGCAGGCCACAAATGTTTAAACAAAACATAATAAACAGTGTTGGCTACCTCATCCTCCTCCTCCACCGCTGCTTCCACCTACACCACCACGGTCACCACCTCCTCAACTAGGTACACATTAGCAGAGGCTTGTGAAGGCCTTTTCTCCATGCATCAGGAGTTGAGCATTTCTCCATGCATCAGGACTGCAAGAAATGCACTGCAGACTGCAAATGTTTCTTTTGTTGTATCTCCCAATATTTTGTGGGCTACCACAATAAAAAAAAAAACATAAAAAACAGTGTTGGCTACCTCATCCTCCTCCGCCGCTGCTTCCACCTACACCGCCACGGTCACCGCCTCCTCAACCTATGGGGCACATAGTATAAACTAGGTACACATTAGCAGAGGCTTGTGAAGGCTGTTTCTCCATGCATCAGGAGTTGAGCATTTCTCCATGCATCAGGACTGCAAGAAATGCACCGCAGGCTGCAAATGTTTCTTTATTTGTATGTCCCAATATTTTGTGGGCTACCACAATTTAAAAAAAAAAAAAAAACATAAAAAACAGTGTTGGCTACCTCATCCTCCTCCTCCACCGCAGCTTCCACCTACACCGCCACGGTCACCGCCTCCTCAACCTATGGTTCACTTAGTATAAACTAGGTACACATTAGCAGAGGCTTGTGAAGGTCTTTTCTCCATGCATCAGGAGTTGAGCTCAGTTTGAACAGTGAAAGAGAATGCCCTGCACTCCAACCCTCTCTCAAATGGATAATTCTGGTGATCCTCCTGACAGCCATGCTTTAGATTTTCCTTTATGTTCTTCCAAAGCTAAAATCAAAGATTCCATCTAGTGCTATTTTATGGCTCAGCTGTATTTTTAATTTTTATATTATTTTAAGTGATTTCCCTATCCACATTTGTTTGCAGGGCACTTGTCCTACTCTTACCCCCATTTTACTTCCTTTTGCAGCTCTCTAGCCCTTTCCAGGAGTTTTTGTGGCATTTTTGTGGCCAAAAGTTCAGGTCCCCATTGACTTCAATGAGGTTCGGGGTCAAGTTCGGGGTCAAGTTCGAGCCCGAACCCGGACTTTTTTTCAAAGTTTGGCCGAACCCGCCGGACCCGAACATCCAGGTGTCCGCTCAACTCTATTTTCAGGCAATGAATAATTGAGTAATAATTGAGACAGAGAGAAAAACTATATTGAAAAAAACCTGACACTTTGATGATGTGGGAGAGTTTATAGTTTCTTGTCAACCCCCTGCCTGACAGATGCAAATCAGAGTTTGTGTCTGAATAGTTATACACAGGTAGCTTTATTGATAGACACTGTCATAAATGGATCCTCTGTCTGGGCCCCCGGTCTGTTCCTACAAGATCAATGATGATCACTACAAAATATGCACAGCTTGTCTGCTCCTGAAAAATATTTGTATGCAATTACTAATTAGATAGACCAGAACACCCCCTGGACTAATTAGAAATGATATTCCTGGGTCTAAAATGTTTACAAGTTGGGGTTTAAACTGAGGTGAAGGAGTGGATTAGTCTTTCAAGGAAATGCCCACCCACCTGTCTGATTTTTCACTTTTTGATGTTGTCTCAGCTGCAGGATGTTTCTTGCCAGCACAAGATTAAAAGGATAACCTGCTAGAGGAGTTGGATGCGGTGAGACGTTTCTGACCCAGGAGGAGAAGGGGACAGCTTGTGGCTGTCTTCATCAGGGAATCGTGGAAAATGCCTGCTGCTTTTGGAGTTGAGGACATATGCTGGCACGATAAGTTAATTCAATAAAGCTACGCCACAAGTTGCTGTCAGTGTTTGGGTGGGGGTTTTATATTAGATTTTAAGTCTGTCTCAGTCCTTAGCAGTCATGACAAGAGATGAGTAATTTGTCTACTTCCTGGGGACATGAGTACATATTACAAGTTGGTTGGTGGAGAGAGCAAGAATGGACAATTTGTCTACTCCTTGGCAACATTGGTACACATTACCAGCTTACTGATGGACATGGTGAGAAGTAGACCCTCTCTTTATTTCCTGGAGACAATGTAACATATTACTAGTTTACTAGCTGACATGGCAAAATACAAAGCCTTGTTCAACTCTTTGGTGTTAAGGATACATGTAGCAGACTTACAAACGATACAGCAAAAAATAGAAATCTTCCGTGGAGAGATAAAGTTATACCAAAGGCATTCCAGACTTTCTGACAGTAAACAAATTAAAGTGTAATTCACATTCTAACCCTGCTATTATTTCCATCATGTACAGTATTAGTAATGGTTTAGGTTTAATCAAGAAATTAATCATAAACAAAGGAAATTGTTCAGTTTGTCATTAGCTCTGATAATTTTTTAAGATATCAAGGGCACGTGAATTATAATCATATTATACAGGAAATATTTTACTAATGTGGAATTTTGAATAATTTCTCCTCGGTCTATAATTTTATGGCTGTCTTCCTGTCTGTTTGGCATGATGAAAGATGTTTGTTACCCAAATTGTCCTAACTTGACACACAACATCTTCAGGTTTTCAAGGGCAAGGGAAGGTTGTTTGCACAATGATAACAGAAACCTTTTTATGTGTTATTGTTCATTACATATGAACTAAAAAGCAGAGATTTGAGAGAAAAGTCCCCAATTTATGCTTGGTCAACACATGCAAGGCCTGATTTCCCATAAGGTAACCAAGGCCTTGGCTTCTGGAGAGCAGGCATGAGAGGGACATCGTAGTCAGTGGGGAGATTAAAGATCTCCCTCACTAGCCAGACCATTCTCATGCCAAGGGAGCAGTAGTTGGGGCATGTGGGTGGAGCCAGAGAATGTGTCACCAGTGATTCGAATCATGTCACTTGCTATACCCACAATGGGTGGTATCATCCAAAAATAGGCCAGACAAGTCTGTCAGGATTGCCACCTAATAGGCAGCCTGGCTGGCCCTTATCTATCAGGACCATGCATGGAGTACTCCTGAAGTGCTCTCTGCATTGTCATAGTGCACACTGCATAGTGCAAGTTGTCTAATTGTAATGATATTGATGTTACAAAGTTTTGGAGTCCAGTAGTCAGATCAGCAATGTTTTCTGCCAGAGGTAGCCACTCGTTACCCAGGTGGTTGAGCCCCTGAGCCTTGAGTGGCCTTCTGGTCTTAAGCAGAGATGGGAGACTGGAACAGAAAGATGATAATCGTAGTGAGGCAAGCCGAGGTCAGTGGGAAGGAGAAGCAGCAAAGTCAAAACAGTCCAAATTCAGCAACAGGAAGGAGAAACAGGAACACGCTTGATTAGAGAGTACAGGAACCACAATAATCTGGCAAAGGTACAGAGACAGGAAGTGGCTTTTATAGGCCAAGAACCAGACACCTGACCAGACACAGCTGAAGAGTGTTGTCACTGATAACCTTGACTCTACAAGCAATGGTATAAGATCTCAGGTAAATTTGCAAAAGGCAGGCTGGTGTACTGGTAAGGAAAAGGTTTAGCACCATGTAAACCAGGGTTCGAAACCCAGCAGAGTCAGTTCCTCACATTACCTCCACCTCTACAGGCGCAGCCTCTGGATGCCCTATTTCCTGGTTTAGCAGGGTACTGTGCATGGAAAGACTGAAGAAGATCAGGAGCATGAATATTGTCCACTGGTTCCCACGATCTATCCTCCTCACCATAGCCTTTCCAATGAACCAAGTATTGAAGCTTGTTGCGGAAGATCCTGGAGTCAAGAATTTTTTCCACCTCGTATTCATCTTCACCATCCACGAGGACTGGTGGTGGGGCAGGCAAGGCTCGACCAGGGAAAGTATTTTCATGAAAAGGTTTAAGCAGTGCCACGTGAAACACCGGATGTATTTTCATGGAATCCGGAAGTTGCAGACGGAAGGTGACTGCATTGATCTGAGCGATTATCTTAAAAGGTCCCATGAACTTTTGACCCAATTTATGAGAAGGAATCCTAAGCTTAAGATTCTTTGTTGACAGCCAAACCTTGTCACCAACATGATAAACTGGGGCCTCCTTTCTGTGCCTATCAGCAGCTCTTTTGTAACATTCCTGAGCCTCCGAAAGAGTCTCCTTCAACAGTTCTTGGGAATCTCGTAAGGCGGTTAGCCGGTCAGTGACTGCAGAAATGGGAGTAGTAATTGGGAGACTCACTAGAAAGGTTGGATGGTAACCATAATTGGCAAAAAATGGGCTCAGAGAAGTGGAGCAGTGTTGGGCATTGTTATAGGCAAACTCCGCCGTGGGTAGAAAATCCAGCCAGTCATCCTGCAGGTAACTAATATAGCACCGCAAATATTGTTCTAAAGTCTGGTTGGTTCGCTCAGTCTGTCCATTACTTTGTGGATGAAAAGATGAAGACAGATTTACATTAATACCTAGAATAGAACAAAAATATTTCCAAAAATGAGATGTAAACTGCACTCCCCTGTCAGAAATTACTTCATCAGGCACTCCATGCAAGCGAAATATTTCCCGAATAACAAGGTCAGCAGTCTGTTTAGCTGAAGGGAGACCACGAGCTGGTATGAAATGACTCATCTTGGTTAACCGGTCCACAACAACAAGAATAGTAGTGTGTTCCTTAGAGGGAGGTAGTTCCACAATAAAGTCCATGGATATAGATCCCCAGGGACG